GGCAGTGAATGCACAGTTTCTTACCACTAAGCCACCAGAGCTATGTCTAGAAATCGGGAAGACAATCACCTGGCCAACTGACTGGAAGAGATCCGTATTTATTCCCATCCCCCAAATAAGATGATCCAGAAGAATGTAGAAATTATTGAATAATATCACATGCAAGCAAAATCCTGCTGAAGATCATCCAAAAACAATTGGTACTGTACATTGGCAGAGAACTAGTAGAAATACAAGCCAGGTTTAGAAAAGTCTGGGTCACTAGGGAAAACATTGCAGATGTCAGATGGACCTTGGCTGAAAGCAGAGAGTACCAGAGGAATGTATGTCTGTATTTCATTGACTGTGCAAAGACATTTGACTGTGTGGACCACAACAAATTATGGCTAACCTTGAGAAAAATGGCAATTCCAGAACACCTAATTTTGTTTTTACAAAACCTATATAAAAAAGCAGACTTCAGAACAGAGTAAGGAAACATTGTATGGTTGAAAATCAGGAAAGGAGCGTGTCAGGGATGCATCCTGTCTGTATACCATTTCAATCTATTTGCGGAACAGATAATTCGGGAGGCTGGACTTTATGAGGAGGAATGTGGCATCAGGATTGGAGGAAGACTCATCAACAGCCTGTTTTATACAGATGACATAACTTGCTTGCTGAAACTGAGGGCCTAAAGTATTTGCTGCAGAGAGTCAGTGCTGGAACAGGGCATGCTCGTTCACTCACTGGCCTTGTGGTGATTTCCACTCATAGCTCTTCCCGTGGGTTTCTCGGGCTGTAAATCTTAACAGGAAGAAACTCTCTGTCTTTTGCCTGTAGAGCTATTGGTGTATTCCAGCTACTGGGACCTGTTGGTTAAGCCACCACAGTCCAGCTACCAGAGTTCCCTACAACATGCCTAGGACTCGGGAAATTATTGTGGATGAAAATGCACAATTCACCTTTGTGGTAAATGTGGCATGCTAGCTGTGGTTATCTGGGTGAAGCTGAGAATGTCATGGTCTCGAATGTCAGGGACAGGCAAGAGTTCTCCTCTAGGGACCTCATCCATATCAGAGTCACATTCAGGAACTTGGAGAGAACCCCAGGTCCTGGTCCTTGTTTGGTTTTCTGGAAGTAGTGCCCATTCTCTGAGGAAGGAACATACGCAAGCTTCTGAGAGGCATTCTTTGAGAGGCGGGACATATGCGAGCTTCTCAAAGAGGCATGCCAGAGTTGAAGTCCTCCAGCTGGCTGCCCTGGTAGTGCAGTGGTCAGGCACTCAGATGGCCTGCAGGTCAAACTCACCAGTGACTCTGAGTGACAGTGAAGTGACAGTCTGCTCTTGTAAAGGTTGTATCCTGAAAAACCCACTGGGGCCATTCTGTTCTGTCCTGTATCAGTGCTGTGGATCCGAAATGGTCCCATGGCTATGAGTCAGGATATTTTTTGGTTTGGTAGGCCCCTTGGAACAATTTGTGGAGGTTAGTCTGACTGGCATTGCCATTCAGCCCTGTTCTTCCTCTACCCCAGAGGCTGCGTAACTACCTGCACCCCTAAAACGGCCTGGACTTAGGCCAAGATTGAAGTCATCGACAGAGCAGAAGCCAGGCTGTTTGTGGTGGAGCTCCGCTCGTCCCCACCCCACATTTGTCCCAGTACTATTTTGGCCCCTGGTGTGTGGTTTCAGCTTGTAGGCCAGCTTTGAGGCACAACACAGTCCAACCCTTTATGGGTTGAACGAGTTCTCCAAGAGCACAAAGTGCCAAAGAGGTTTTCCTTAACTGCTGAGGCCATCCCTTCCTTCCGAAAGTCTTATTTTAAAGGTAATACCAGAGTGAAAACCTACAAAATCCAGATTTAGGACAAGGTATGAATGGGGGCAGGGAAGGGTATGTGTGTTGAAGTGGGGTGGTGGTGGCAGCTGGCCACAGGCGGGGAGGCAGCAATTCACACAAAGTGGTCCCAGCTGCCCCTGGTTTCCAGACTCTCCCGGCGCTGCTCCAGCCTGCCATTCAGGGAAAGCTGCTATCATTAGTGGTTAAGCTTTTCTGAAAGCATTCCCTCTCAACTTGGACCACATGCCCTTTCAGAGAAGGAATAGAGGCGCAGGGAGCCAGAAGAGGAAGGGGGACCCACCCTGTTGTCATGCCCAGCTGCTCCACAGAGCAAGAACTGGAGAGACTGGAAGCAATCATGGACTTGTCAGGGATCGTGCGTGTGGCAGGATTGATTTTGCCTTTTCCGTGCTGCCCACATGGCCTGCCGTGCATGATGGGACACAACCCTCTGTTCTGCTTTGAGCCCCAAATGACAGGATCTTTTTGTCGTTTGAAGGAGATTCTTAGTGGAGATGAACCTTCTCTTCTATTAGTCACTTCTCTCTCCTTCCAGCTCTTAGCCCTCAACACATACATACATTTACCCATCACTGAGGACCGCGCGGATTGGGCTGTGCTCCTGCCTTCAACAAGGCCCTGTGGTAAAGTGCTTAATGTCGACATCCCTTGCCACCAAGTGGGGACTTTGAAATATTTTTCTTTGGCAGAGGTGTGGCTGACAGCGTTGATTTATGAAATTAGCTCAGGGAAAAGCAAGTGTCCAGATTCAATCTTTATTTCCATCCTTCAGTCAGACCCTCTCCATCCACTCTCAATCCCTACACAGTCTGTCTGAAGGGTTCCAGGATTTTCTACATAGTATCTTTTTCCTTCCTTCATTTAAAAAAAAAATTTTGACTCACTAATCTTTTTTTCTTTAAACTCTGGTGTATTTACCCCCTAAGAAAATGAGAAAAATCAAGAAAAGCACAAATGTAATAGTGAAAAACCTTCATATTCTTATTTTGCAAAGATTATCTCCATTAATGTTTTGATTTAGGTCCAACTTGTGAGAGAAATCCATTCCTTGCACTAGAGGATGAAGACAGCAGGGAAGTTCATGCTCACCCAGGAACCTCCTTGCTTCCTGCACTGTTGGCTTGTCCCAGCAACCAGAACTGGAGGGTCTCCCCAGCAGGGATGCTCAGCTATGAAACCTAGCTCATGCTGACGCTGGCCATGTGACTGTCTAAGTCTAGGCTTCCCATCCTCATCTCCCAGGCAAAGAGAGTGAACTTTTGAAATCAGCCTCCCTGGATTTGAATCTCTGCCCCATTGTTGACATAATATATGACTTCTCTGCCTCTCTTCCCATTTGTAAAAGGTGGATGATGATAGTAAGTGAAGGAGTTCTGGTGGTGCAAGTGTTTAGTTGGTAAGCGAATGCTGGGTGGCTTGAACTCACCCACTGGCTCCACAGGAGAAAAGCCATGCTGATCTGCTTCTGTAAAGAAGACTGCCCCGGACTGCCTACGGGGACAGTTCTGACCGGTCACATGTGGTAGCTGTGGGCCAGAATTGACTTGATGGCCACCAGTAACAACAATGACGTTAATGACTATCTATAAGCACCCTCTAGGGTTGCTATGTTGTTGTTGTTAAGTGCCGTTGAGTCGCAGGCGACTTATAGCGACCCTATGAAGGAGAGTCCTCGACCCTTGGGTGTCTCTCCTCCTCTCTCCAGGTTCGTAGGGTTTCCGGAGGCAAGCTATTACGGAAGTGGATGCCACTCCTCCTTCCAAGCTTGTTTCAATCAGGGAGCTCCACCCCACTCTCTGTCCGCATTGGGTAACCAGCCATTAACACATTTGACACACATCAGTGTCAAAGTGGTCAGCCTCACAGCAACCACAAGTGACCGCTATACGGGAACTTGTACGCCAGAGCTATACAACCTAGAGGAATGCCTGAATAAGAATAATGAAAGACAGGCCCGAGGGCCGCAGATTAAAAGTCACCCACCTTCGGCTTGGTTAGGGTTGCTATAGTCAATGAAATATATATGTAAAGTGTGTATCATAGTAATTGGAACATAACGTTACAGCATAAAAAAAATTATATTCTTCCATGTTGTTGGTAGGTCCTGTCAGGTCAATTGTCTACTCATAGCAACCCCATGCGACTGAGTAGAAGTACCCTATATGATTTTCTTAACTGTAATCTTAACACCAAATCAACAGGTCTTTTTTCTCACAGAGCTACTGAGTGAATTTGAACCACCAGCCTTCTTGTAAGCAAGCAAGTACGTAACCATTGCACCACTAGGACTCCTGTGTATTTCCATAGTCAGTGTTTGTGTTGTTACAGTGTTCATTGCTGCTATTACTCTTAACTGTTCTATTTTACATGTTGTCAGTGTTCTCTGGACCTCTGTCTTTGCCTGGAGAGGAGTCCTCTTATCTTTGCTGGATGTTAAACCATCTCTCTGTTGCAAAGTAGTAGAATGATCTCTCTTGGGGAAATCTCACTAAAGAGTAGTGAGGCTAAGACATTTACTTAGTGAACATCTTCAAGCTAAGAAAGGATCTTGTGTTCTCTGAGCATCTCACAATTTTCTTTGTATTGTAGGCTCATTTCTCCATCTGTCCTCCTTAGTGAGATTGACTAGTAAGTCTGTTTTAATCATCGTTTCTGAAGAAAGCATATCACCATATACATTCACTTAAGTTATTTACTCTCTTTCTCTTCTTTTCCCAAGAGAAGCACCTTAGCTGTAGAGAAAATTGACTTGGATACCTTTTGGGCTTTTTGCCCAATGGGAGAATATTTCCTCTGTAGCCTGTCCAGCGATTCTTGTTTATTTCTAACATTTTAACCCAATGAAAATAATGTGATGGTCACAGGACATGATGCCAGTTATTTCAGTTGTGTGAGCAATTCACCCTGGGTTTGTTTACTTCAAGTGGAAAAATTTACAAAAAGTTTCTGTCTGCGCTTTTACCAAGAAGGAATCTTACCTGAGTCTCCCTGTTTGGAGCTAGGTTCTGTTGAATCTAAAGACCAGTGGGGTAATGAATAGGTCTTGTTTCCAATAAATAGCGCCGGAGAGAATACAGTGACTTGGGTGGAATACACGTCTTTCTGTTTTCCACTGACTTACATCTGTCTGCTCTAAATTTTTTTTTTTTTTACCCCCAGGACACACAGACACTCAGGTGGTTCAGCCAGAACAACCACAGGACCCAGTGAGCAGAGCCCTGGTGCTAGGAACCGCCACCGCCAGCCCGTCAAGAACCCCAGCCACAGTGGCTTGCCCAATGGCACAGGTGAGTGACAGCACAGAACGTCAGTTTGGGCTAGAGCAGTGGCCTTGGACCTGTCCTCATGTGGAGTTGGGACTCTTCCTCCAGTGACAGGGTGTGCGTCTGACTGTGTCAGAAGACAGGATAGGCATGACAAGACTCCACTATTAAAATGAGTTTGAATCCAGCGGTTTTCCAGTTGACCCGTCCTTTCTCTTCCCTATCAAATCTCTGCCTTACCCGAGCCTATGCTTCAATTGACTACACTTAAATATCTTCTCCATTTCTGATTAACAATGGATTTCATCCAGAGAGAATATGTTATTTATATATGACATATTTTTTTCTTTCTTTACTTTAAGGAAATCCTCAGATTTGGGAAACAGAGGACTGTATTGTTGCTAAGATCTGGGTTTATGGAGACAGTGATGCTATTGGATGAGCTGGGATGCTGGCCATGACTACTGTTGGTGGATAGGCTGTGACTATTTTAGTGAGGGTCTCCCTCAAGAGTAGACAGTTAGCTCTCTCACAGACACCCAGACCCTCTCTGCATTTGACTCAGCTTACCCTAGAGTTTGATGGGAAAGGCCTATTTCAAAACAAGCCAGTGTTTACCTGGCTTTCCCTTAGTCTCATCAGAATAGAGTTGAAATTGAAAGAAACACTATGTGTTTTCTAAACTTATTGGAGATTAAAAACTTTAATGAGTAGAAGTCATTTGATAATATGTCTTTATTTTGTGACAGTTGGGAAATTATGTGAATATCTCAGGAAGCTATAGGTGGGAGGTACAGGTGTTGAAATGCAGATCACTTTGCAATGTTATGTTAGCATAGGTTGACACAGAGGGTGAGAAGCCTGGAGTGGCAGCGCTTGACATAAGAGCTGTCATGGCTCTGCCGCTGACCTTTCTGTGACAGGCTTACTGAGCAGAAGAGATGTCTTTGAGTCACTCTGAAAACTCAGTTCTTTAGCAGCATTGCCTGGAAGCGTCAGAGCGTCTCTGATAGCTTATTTTTAAATCATTGTTGGATTACACTGTGGTCCACCTAGACTGCAAGATTTGCAGTGAGAGCTCCAAACTGACTCCTTCTGGAGGCTGGTAGCTTCCTGAAGAGCTGAGTTAAAACTAGCTAATTCTGAGCTCTGTGGGTAGGGTGAGCTGGAGGTGAGGAGTAGCTATTGCTGTCACAGCTCCCATGCCACCTGTGTTTATGTACTAGGATGTCCAGTAATAGCGTGGTCTGCCCATACCATCTGTGTGAAGGAGACAGCATGGTGGCGACCATGGAGAGTGTTAATAAAGAATCATGCGCAGTTCAGTGAGGCCCCAGCAAATAAGCTTCTCTTAGAAAAAGAAGTGTTTTGGGGGGCTGGGGGGAAGACCAACATTTCCATATAGGGAAGGAAGAACTGGCTTTTTGGAGCTAGTTGTGAAGCCAACATTATTGTGGTATTAGATTTTCTCTGCCATCTTAGTGAAAACTATAGGTAGATCTAAATTATACTGGCTTTTCTTTACATTGGATCTAAATTAACTTCTTTTTGTCTTGAGATCTTGTTATCCCAGAGACATTAGTTATTTAATATATATCACATATATTTGGAAGCAGGAGCCTAAACAACATGTCTCTGGCAACTCTGTGAACTTTGAGGTAGTTACAGAAAGGCTTTTCAGGTCTTTTGTTCATAGGGTTTCTATGAGTCATGCTTGACTCGACGGCAATCAACAACATTCTCATATATAGTTAAAGATTATTTTTTTTTTACTCATTCTGTTTGTTTCTGATTTGAAACTAGCCTCTGATTTTTGTTATTGACATGCTGTAGTATTTTTAAAAAAAGTGTCTAGGAGGGCTAATCTTGTTCTGTCTTATTTGTTTTTGTCCATAACATTTTTTGGTAGCTTATGTATTTTCTAAGTGAACTTTAGATTTGCATTGTTAGAATAGGGGGGAAATGTGTTCATTTCTAGGAGCTCCGGTGGTGGAATATGTTACTTGTTATATCGCTTACTGAAAAGGTCAGTGGTTTGAATCCACCACTCTCTCTTTGAGAGATGGGCATTCTTCTCTCATCAAGATTTAAAGCTTCAGAAACCAAATGTAGGGTCAGGTCACTATGAGTTAGAATTGACTCAACAATAGTGGGGTTTTTCCTGTTTATATGGTGACGGATGGGAAAAATGTTAACCTTTCCATCTTACAACATGGCATAGCTTAGTTAATTTTTAAGTTTTTGTTCCTCTGTTTGTATCATTTTTCTAGTTTTAGTTTCTTTTGTGGAGAGCTGATTGAGCATGGCACAGGCAGTTTTGATTCTCACCTGTTAGACACAGAGGCTTCTTTCATGACTTATTTTACAGTAGAGTGTATGTTACTGGCTAACACTCAGTGTAAAAAGCTTCTTTTGCTGGTGATGGCCTGCTACGTGCCTGAGTGTTACAGCTTAAAAGACCTGTGTGTTCGTCAAAGGTTGGTCTTCCCCCTCCCACCTTCCCACCTAAGGATCTTGGAGCTCATAGTGAGCTGGCGCTGAGCCTAGGATTAAGGGAAGAATTTCGATTCCTGATCTCGTCTTGGCTAGATGTGACTACAGTATGTCTTAGTCTGATTCATAAAGTTAGAATGTTTAACCAACAACACAGAGAGAACCTTGTGAAATAGCTACAACTGCAGAAACCAGAGGCTATTCAACTGCTGTTTTAACAACTTACCCCATTTACCCTCTTTTACATACTGTACCCCGCTCTTTCCATCAGAGAAAGCCATTGTCCTCACCATCCCACCCCTACCCCAAATACACACACACTTGGTCTTCTTAATTTGAGGACCATTTCTGCCTTTTATCATGATGTTCAGCCCTCTTGGTGGTCCTTCAGTTTTCTGTAAAATGGGAATGATAAAAATAAATGAGCTAATGAAAGTGAATTTGTTAAAGTTAGTGGAGCAAAAGAAGAATATCCATGGAAAAGCTTGTGACATCCAGATTCAATCTAGAGTTTAGTTAATAATAATATACTAATAGTAATTTTTTCTTTAGTTTTGAAATGTTACACCTTTAAGAGACATTGGATGAAGGGCACATTATCTTTGTAACTTTTTATAAATCCCAAGTTACTCTATAATTTAAAAATAAAACTAGTATTTTAAAAAGAAGGAATCTACTTTGCAAATGACGATGTCACCTATTTCAGGTACTTTTATTTCAAATAATGTTCTTTCTCTAGATTATATGGATTTTTAACAAGTCTGAAAACATGTTCATGAAATGTCGTTTTTGCTAAGTACTTTGGACAGTGTCAAGAAGTAGAAAATTAGGCCCTTACCCTATAATCTGTTTCCAAATTAGAAGTTGAAAATATACTAATATTAGCTAAGTATCAACACAAGGCTGTCTCAGGGCTGTGTGATTGTACACACCATAGATGCTGTGGGCTCTGAAGAGGAACCTAAGTGGTGGTGGGACATTCAGGAAGGAGGACTGAAGTCAACAAAGGGATAGAGGCAAGAATAGAAAGGAAGTAGTCAGAAGTAAGTAAGGAGAGCTAAATTATGTATTATTGGGATTAGCTATGAATTATAGAGATTAATGGCTAGAACATCTTGGCCATATTGAGTTAAAAGAGATGTAAAGTGCTGCTGTTCTTTATGGTTTGATGAAATTGTAGCTCTTTTCTCTGATGACCCAGTTTTTCTCCCTACTTAAAGCCATGTGATGGTTTGAGTATAGGGCCCTATGGTCACTGGTTCGTAAGGTGTCATTGGGCCACTATTTTAGTTTGAATTTTAATTTCTTCTAACAGCTGTGATTGGGTGGACTTACTACTAGAGTTTTTCAAGCTGTCAGTTCATACACACATTCTTGCATACACTCTTTGAGACCAGAGTATGAACATGGGAACAGAAAGCTTGTCAACACTAAGCTATCCAGCTCTCATGCTCTCTTACTTCCAAATCTGAAACAAAGGTGTAGCTCTAAGCTCTTAACCAGAACATCTGTGGCAGATGGAGTCCTGGTGGGACCCCTCTTACTACATTGACAGCTGCGAGAACAATCAGATCCAGGTGGTGGTGACTGAAGGCACTTCCCCAGGGCATGTCCTGGGGCTGCTTATGTACTTTTCTTGGCTAATAATCTCATCATCATAATAATTTTTTTATAGGTAGTGCTTATGCATTATACAAACATTCATGTATAAAATCTTAGAGTATCAAGAAAATTGTTTTAGTTCAGTATTTCAAATTCACTCCCTTCTCTTGAGGAAGCCACAGTTAAAAGTTTCTTTCAAAGGTTTTCTTTTGTTATACAAAACCCATGCTATATATAGGAAACTGTGGTCTAGTGGGTAAGAAGTTGTACTGTCTTAAAAATCACGATTAAAATACAATTTTATTTAAAAAAAAAAAAGAAGTTGTGCTGTCAACCCAAAGGCTAGTCTAGAGTGAGAAAGAAGGACAATCTCCTCCTGTGCTGTTTGCAACCTCTGATGTTCCAGGACAATGGCAGTAAACAATAACAGCAATAATAGTGATAAGTATGCTATACAAATTGTTTTGTGCCACCTGACACAACAATAATAACAGTGATAAACCTGGCGCCTGACTCGTAACTGACCCTCCAACAGTTTTTCAGAGGCAGTAAATGGCAATGGAGGAGATGGGTCATCATTCTCTAGTTGAACAACTGGTAGATTTGAACCTCATGCCTTTGAGATTGCAGCACAGCTTCTTACCACTAGGCCACCAGACACAATAGCAATGATAATTGGGCTGCTGACCAAAAGATTGGCAGTTTGAACCCATCAGTCACTCTGTGGGAAAAAGGTGAGGATTATGTAAAGATTTACAGTCTTGGAAATGCCAAGAGGAAGTTCTTCTTAGCTGAGATTGACAGCAGTGCATTTGGGTTTTGTTTTATGCTATCTACATCTCCTTTGAAAATACCCATGTGTAGAAACAAATCTTAGCAAAATACATGTGCTCTTCTGCCCTTTCCCACTTAAACATTGCTATCTTGGTAATTTTTCCCTAGAACCTGAAGCCAACTTAAAAGCCTGACTTAGCCAAAGACAGGACGATTTTTATGTCAGCAAGAGCAGAAATTACAATAAATCAAACTGTTTAAAAGATAAGAGTTAAAAATTATTTTAAACAAACAAAATTTCATTTTCCTTTTCTAGAGGTTATGAAGAAATCAACTCATTTTAGAGTCAAGCATTTTCTGTGCCTTTCTTTTAAGACTGACCCTTAAGGTAGTCAAATAATTGAGTTTCTTTCTCATTCTAGAAGTGTGCTAGCTAATGAGTGACGAAAGCATAGTAGAATTAGAATATTGCTATCTTACAATCCCCAGTGAATTAATGGATTTAGGCAATAATATTCAATGGTGGCTGACATTGATGGTGGAAGAGGAACAGCAGACATTATGTGTCTTCCTCTATCAGTGCTAGAAAATGGAATATATATAAAATTTCAAAAAAGACCAATGTGAACCCATTACCTAACTCCTACTGTTAACTCACTTGTGGCTATTTTAATGTCGTGTACACACTCATCCACCAGTCTTCTTCCCACTTCTCTTCCTGACTACCAGATTATTGCATTGTAATTTTTTGAAAAATTGTGTTTTATTCATGTACATTGTTTGTTGGGTTTTTTCCTCCTTCCTTCACTGATGAAACTCTTCAACACCATGATTTCCCCACTCCCCCCCATCCCCCCTGCCACCTCTCCTTCCCTCTTTGTATATCCATATCCATCTCACTGGTTATCCTTCTATTTTTATAATAATGGTCTTATGCAGTATTTGTTCTTTGCATTTAAATTTTTGACACCACCAAACTGTTCTGCAAAGACTTCTAGCAATTTTTACTCCCACCAGCAATATGTGAAAATGACTGTTTTTTACACTCTTACTAATGTGTGATTAAATATTGTCATCCTTGCCAGTCTGATAGATTTTAGAAAAATGGTAATTTGTTATGGTCTTAAATTATATTTCATGTGTCATAATTTGGACTGAGCACTTTTATTTCATGTGTGTAAGAGTAATGTATATTCTCTTTACTATGTGGTATTTCATTATGTATTATTTTAAAAATTGATTTGTTGGCTTCTTTTTCTTCTGAAAGAAGTTAAGTTATTGGCCTGTAATATGAGTTGACAATAATGCTGCCCAATTTGTTGCTTTTCTTTTTGCCTTTGGTGTTTTTGCTGTGTAGAAAATGTCAACTTTTAATGTTTAGCTGAATTAATTTATCTCCTATGACTTCTAGACTTCATATATTTCATTTTTCCATGTTTTCTTTAGTTCCTCTATAGTGTAATTTTTTATGTCAGTGTTTCTTATCTTCAGGAATTTATATTGATGTAGGAATGAGGTTGGACTATAAATTAATTCTTTTCCTAATACATTACCCAGTTATTCCTGCATCATTTTATTGAATTTTTAAAATTAATTTGTTTAAAATGTCTTTTTTGTCATATAGTAGTGGTAAAAAGATGTTGTAACCTTCTTCTGTAAAGATTTGCAGCTTTTTCTAAACCAAATATATCTGTGCATTGAATTCTACTTATGAATTTTTTTTATTCGTATCTCAGTACTGCATTGTTTTAACTACTGCAGCTTTAGAATATATTTTAATACTTTAGAGAATTGGTCTCCTAGCACATCCTTTTTTTTTAATTTCCCAGGTTTTCCTAACCATCTTTGTGTTTTAATTTTTCCCTGTACATTTTTAAATGCATTTATTTAGCTCTCAAAAAAGTCATACTTAAATGTTTTTAAAAATTGAAGCTAAGTTTTAAGTTTATATAAAGAGGACTAACATCTGTTGCACTTATAACTAACTTGGATGAGATAGACTAGTAATATAAATATAAAATCTTGCCTTTTTGCTGGGAAAACATCAGTTGCATAATATTTAGTCATTTGTTGAACAAGCTATTTAATTTATATGCCAGACAGTATTTCATACACAGGGGAAAAGCAAATGAATAAATTGTAGGCAGTCCCTAGCCTCAGGCTCTTGCCATTTGGTACAACTGAGCTTGGCAGCATATCTTATGAAGAAATTTTTGTTTCAGAAAACAGCCAATCTCATGTTAGCCAACTAGGCCATGTGGTTTGCTACAGAGGTCCTATCATCTTGAGTCAGATTAGAGCATGTGCAGAGGGAGGAAGAGATCAGAGGGAGCGAGTGGTGCAGGCTCCCGAGGCAGGCTCACTCTCATTGCCATCAAGTCAAAACCATACGTAGCTGACCCTCCAGCAGGTTTCCAAAGCTGTAAAGTGCAGAGGGGGAGATTGCCCATCTTTCTTCCGAGGAGCTCCTGGTGGATTCAAACTGCCAGAGAGATGCTGTCTTTGCGTGAGCAGTGCAGCTCCCAACTGAGTGTGGAGACAGACAGTCCCGTTGAAACTCATTGTCATCAGGTTGATTCCAACTCATAGCAGATAGTAGGGATGTTGCTGTGTGGCCTTGGGCAGGTTATTAACCTCTTGAGACTCAGTTTCCTCAACTGCAAAATGAAGGGACAGGAATTAAATTTTATTTATGGGGAAGAGGCTTAAATGATAGAATCCACATGAAGTCCTTTGCACCTAGTCAGACACACAGTTGTTGTTGTTGGGTACTGTCAAGTTGGAACCAATCCTTAGGAAAGCCTCCAGTGGGATTTCAGAGTCAGTAAATTGCATGAGAGGTGATTGCCCTTCTTTCTCTCATGGAGCAGCTTATAGATTTGACGGCATGGTTGCTTACCACTAGGCCAGCAGACCTCCCTGACGCTCAGTAAATGTTAATGATTAGCAGCCTTTGAGTCAACTCCTGCCTCCAGGAGACCCCCCTGCACAACAGAATGAAACCCTGCCAACTCCTACACCATCCTCACGTCCCATCTTCTCACACACAGGGTGCTGGGATCGGTAAGGTTTACATTGGCTGGTTTGTGTAAATAGTTTACCAGGCCTTTTTTCCATAGGTTAACTAGTATATTTGTATTATCACTTATATTTGTAGTCTGACTCTACTGGACCGATTGGAATTATTATGTTCAAGTCCTGACACCCCTATTTAGAATCAGAAATAGATATTCTGTTGAAGACGGTAGCCAGATACATGCTAAGGAAGTGGGTGGCCAGAAGTAGGATGATCCAGGAAACATTGTGACCTTGAGAACCGGGGTAGCCATACACTTCTTGTGCATTGTTTGGTGTGGGCGTAAGGAGCTCTGGTGGCATAGTGCATTATGTGTTTGTGTCTTGGACTACTTACTGTACCTCGGGTGGTTCGAATCCACGAACTGCTCCTCAGGAGAAAGGTTAGGCAATCTCCTGTAGAGACTTACAGCTTCAGAAACCTGAGGGAGGGTCATCGTGAGTGACTCAGCACCTTTCATTGTGGCATGTGAATGGGAAACAGATCAGCGAGTAGAATTCAGCTTAATTAACAAATCTTTCTGGCATTTCTACCTGTTTAGAGCAGAATGGCTCTGTAAGGAGCTCTCTGTCAAAGAAATTTTCAAGAAGCTGGATAACCATTTGTTAGGGAACCTACCAAAAAAAGAGGTTCTGAATTAGGAAGAGAAGGATAAAAAAGATGATTAAGGTTTTTTCTAAGAAATTCTCATATATTTGTCCACATGTGCAGTCACATGTGTAGGAAATTCTGTGCATGTGGCTTATCTATTTTCAAGTTACAATTCTACAAAACCTAGTTTGACTCTTTTGATTTAGAGGATATTGCAGTGCCTTGGGGTTTTTGTAAATATACACAATCATCAAGGAGATGGAGAAGGAAGCAGAGCTGACAGCTAGCTTTTTTCATTTCTGTCTCTTAGTTTCTGACTGCTGTCTTTTTCATCTAGTACATTAATCCTTGCTTCCTACTTTGAACATGATCCCTTAGAGAATAAGCATTTTATGGGACGTTTTCTGCCTTTGTTTGAGTACGGAGCTTTTTGAAGGAAGGTATTATTCTTACAAATCTAAAGAAAAAGGATCTGACTTGATAAACTTGGCTTTGTTACCTTTAGCACAGAATGCTTCCTGCTATTTTCTTGTTATCCTTATCTTTTCAATTACTTTCCTATTTAAATAATGTAGCTATGAATATTATTCAAACTTAATAAAGTTACAGGAAAGAGAGGGTATGTGATATATTCACATCAGATCTTTCCCCAATTTCCTTTGGGCAGGCATACCTGGATTGCTGTAATTTCCTAAGCTACATACTGGAAAACCTTTAGCTGTCTCCTGATACACAGATGGCAGCATGCTAGGTGGTGTGTTAGCATGTGAGGTGCACAACCCAGTAAAAAGGAACACAATTCTTAATTGATCTTTAAAATGTGATCTCTGTATTTCCAGTGAATGATGAACCCTCAGCAGCCCCTGACACTGAAGAAGTCTCTGTTGTTGGTGTGACTTCCCCACCTGCTCCAGTATCAAGTGTGACCCCAAACCCCAACGTGTCCTCTCTCCCAGCTCCGGCTGTACCGGCTGAAGGAGAGGAGTCAGGCACCTCGGGCACACAGCCGCTCCCGGCCACCACCCCGGCCCACGATGCCCTGCCTGCTGGGTGAGTGGCCTCCTGCCCCACAACAGTGCTTCTTAAAGCCTCCTTCACTGGGGTAGAAACAACCTGGTTATTTACTACCATGTGATCTGTAGTCTGTTGGGAGAAGGGAGGCTGCCATGCATAGGGGCTGGGGAGGTGTGGAAGAACTGCATAAATTTTCAAAAGCACCTAAATCACCTTGGATGGAATCAATACTACCTTATACTGTGAGTAGAAATGAATAGTTTGACTCTTTGAGTGTGGCTTTTATGAAACAAGGAGTTCATTTTGCCTTCCTGAATTATTGGAGGGTGTATGCATGGAGTGTCAAGAAAACAGTCAGGCTTTGTTGAATTTTATCTTATCTGTATATGGAGGACTCAAATTTTAGGCTTCTGGATATTATCATAGGTTATTTCTTTTCCCATAGCCAAGGCTGATGTTAACATGGGCTGCTAGTTTTCTTGCCATTCTGTAATTCATAAAATACATTTTATGTTAAAGACACTGGGTGATAAGAAGATTGGCCTTGGTAAACCAAAGGGAAGATCAAGTTTGTCTGTTTAGTGAGTGGAGAGTAAAAGTATGAATTTGGGAATCAAATGCATCTGAATCCCTGCTCCACACTATGTGGCCTGCTGAGTGAGTTGCTGACTCTCTGAGCTCTTGTTTTACGCTATAACGTAGAGATAACTGTCCTACCTATCTCTCCAGGAAATTTGGAGATTCAAATAAGATGGCAGATGAGAAGCACCCTGGGAACAGTGGACGATGCACCTGGTGAATGGTTTCTGGAGTAGTTGTGAAGGAACCAAAAAAGGGGCAATGATTCTGATCTGAATGGCACAGTGAAAAAATTTTTAATGTGTACTTTACATTCATTTTTTTAATGTGACATACAATTATGTAGATTGCAAAACATTTCCCATTTCAGCATTTTTGGCATATACAGTTCAGTGACATAAACTACATTCATCATGTTGCTGAAATATTGTTACCACTATCCATTTCCATACTTTTCTCTCAGTGTTGACAGAAGTTCTGTGTTCTCTAAGCAATGAGTCTGTAGTATCTTCCTGCTCACCCACTGCTGGTAATCACTAATCAACTCTGCTCCTTAGACACAGGGTAGCTAGCTGTGTGTAGGATCTGACTCAGTGCCCTTTCTCTTTATTTCACAGAAATGGAACCTCATGATATCTGCCCCTTTATGACTGATTTCATTCAGCATACTATTTTCCACTTCTAGCCATGGTATAGCATGGATCAAGCTTCATTTTTCTCTGTGGCTAAATCTCTTGTGTTTAATCTTTTCATCAAGAACTTAAGATTGTATATACATTTTGACTGTTACAAGTAGTGCTCAAGGACACACTGGTATACAAATAACCAGTGTTATTTGTATACACATAACCAACCATTTTGGTCCCTACTTTCAGTTCGTTGGACTTAGGCATGGAATTGCTGGAATATAGGGCAATTTTTGTTTATGTTATTTACTGTGGAGTCAGGACCAACTCGTAGCTGACCCTCCAGTGGATTTATAGAGGCAATAAATCACGTGGGAGGAGATTGCCCATCTTTTTTTTTTCTATGGAGAGTTGGTGGATTTGAACTGAGAGTCTTTGGGTTGGCAGTGCAACTGCTTACCACTAAGCCATATCAAATTGTTTTCCACAGTGGCAGCACCATTTTACAAGCCTACCAGCATTGGATGAGGTCCCAATTTTTCCAGATCTATTAGAGAAATACCTTTTGTTTCCCATTTGCTTGAATTATAGTCACCCTAGTGGGTTTTGAGTGATACCTTTTTGTAGTTTTGATTTGCATTTCCTTAAGTATATCTGAATAGCCCAGGAAACGTTATGGGGCAGTTAGTTCTAGTCTGTCATGTAAGATTTGAATGTCATGAGTTGGAATCAGTTCAACTTCATGCAGCAACAACAAGAAATGAAGTCTTATTTCAGTGACACCCAGTATAAACAGGGTCATTCGCACGTGCTCACCTGTCCATCCTGGTTACCAGTTTAGTGCCAAGGAAACTAGAATCCACATTGTTGTCGACATAGTCTGGCTGATGTTAGTTTCGGTGTGGTGGATAGGGTGGTCCGGAGCCTTTATCTCAAAGAAAAAGGAAGAAGTAGATAGTCTCTTACTTGAGTTATCATGTACTGTATTGTTCTTACTTCATTTTAGAAAATCCAAAAGTTAAAACCAAAGCTCTAAATCTAATGAAAGATACAACTGGTGACATTGTAGCTGTTGGATCTCTAGCTCTTAGCATTTACCTAATGCCTCTCTCTTGATTAAACATTGAAAGAATGAATAGAATAGCAAATGTTTCTGATAGGGCAGATCTGCAGAGAACCAGGGTATTGAAAGGCTACTCTGAATAATTTTTGTGTGTGATTTCTTTTAAAAAAATGAAGAACCAGCCGGCCGCCATTACCAGAATAAAGAAGTATCAAGCTGCAAAAAAAAAAAAAAAGAAGAACCAATTGCTTGGTCTAGTTACTTCCTACAAAGATGTCTTTTCTCTTTCATATGTGGTAAGAACTACTCGAAGGACCTTCGGTTTATAATTTCAGATGGAAAGCTATAATTTTGGGGGAACAGAGCAGATTCATGTTGGCAGAAGGAGAGAAAATGGCCACCCCTGTCCCCTGCGAGCTGTTTGTTTTCTTTCCTCTGAGCAAATGCCTGGAAGGCCAGCTTCACTCCTGTGTCAGTCATAGGCAATTAGGGCTAATGGCTCAACATGTCTTTATGTGGACTGTGTGTGAGGGTTACTGTTCTCGGAGATTGGGCGCTTCCTGTTTCCAGGCAGTTGGAAAACTCCAGGCTCTGAAAAAGCACTTCTGAGTCTGGTGGACTGAGCAGCCCAGGAAAGCTGATTTCCCTCCCTCATCCTGTCTGAGGCCACAGTGCTTTGCTGAGGTAGGATTTGGATGGCATTTAGAACATGTGCAGGTCTGAGGAGACTTCAGCATGTAAGATGGTCCAGAGTAAGGTGTTGGGGACCTTATCCTCCAGGCCAGGAGGCTTCCAGGAGCCTGTTTCTAGGATGGCTGGGAAAGCATCTGTGCTTTGTGGGCTCTCCCTGGGCCTGAGGGCTTCCACTGCCCTGCTGTAGTAGTGAGACCGACTAACTTCCCACTGGCTGTTCTGTGAGGCAGTCCAAAATGGGCACGTTTCTCAGTGAGCCTTCCAATTCATAATCCTGCTGTCCCCACCCATCTTATTTACACCTTCCAGAGATCCAGGCAAATTGTTATTAGGCATTGTTGAGTCATTTCTGACTCATAGTGGCCCCATGTACAGCAGAGTAAAACACTGGCTGCTCCTGTGTCATCCTCGGTCATTGCCGTTTGAGGCCCATTTTGCAGTCAGTGTCTGCACTGAACCTCAACATTCTGTTTTGTTGAGGGTCTTACTTTTCCTCCACTGACCTTCTACTTTCCTAAGCATGATGTCGTTTTCCATAAACTGGTACCTCCTGCTGACATTTCCAAAGTATTGGAGACCAAGTGTTACCAGTGTCACTTTAGAGGAGCGCTCTGCCTGTAATTTGTCCATGACAGGTTTGTTCTTCTGACAGCCCATGGTATGTATATTCATTCAGTACCTTTGCCAAAACCATAATTCTAAGACATCAGTTCTTCTTCGGTCTTACTTACATATTGACCAAGCTTTCACATACAATTGAAAATACCATGGCTTGAGTCAGGTATACCCAGATAAGACAGAGTATTTCTTTCTTTATATCTTGGTTTCAGAAATCAATCAAGAAATCAGTGAACGTGAAGAGGAATGCCATCCAAATTTGCAGAGAACCTTTATCTTTGTTGTTGGATACCATCTGGTCAGCTACAACTCACAGTTGCCCTATGAACAACAGAGCTGAACCTTGTCCTGTCCTGCACTGTCCTCATGATTTCCGAGGTGCTTGAGCCGTTGTTAAATCACTTTGTCAGTTCAAATTCTTGAGGATCTTCCTCTCTTCCTCTGACCCTACATCTTTCCCAGCATGATGTCTTTTTCCAAGGACTGGTCCATTCTGACAATATACACAAAGATGAAGTTTCACCATCTCTTCCTCTAAGTAGCATCCCGGTTACATTTCATCCAGGACAAACGTGTTTATTCTTTTGGAAATCCATGGGATATTCAGTACTCTTCTCTGACACCACACTTCAAAGCCATCATTTCTTTTGTTATCCTTATTCATTGTCAAGCTTTCCGATTCATAGGAAGCAACATCCTTTATGAGGGCACAGCAGTCTAGTTTCTGTTTGAGTGTTCAAGAAGCTGGACTCTATGAAGAAGAAGACTTATCAACAACCTGTGTTGTGCAGATGACATTACTCATCATAGCGACATCTTAGCTTTTAATTATTTTTTATTAATTAAATTTTATTAATTTTAATGAACATTTACAGAGATTTTGGGTTTCCATTCATTCATTGTTGCACTCTTTTCTCTACCTTCCTCCCCAGTTCGTTCCTCTTTTTTTTCC